AGATTGCTTTATGCCTTATACCCATGTCACTTCCTCACATATCTGCGTAACAATTTTTCAAAACCAAATTCCTCAAATTGCTTTTTTACAACCCTAAAGCCAATGATGGAGAAGGTTCGACTTCATCCTCTTCTCATAACAGAAACAAAAGATTCTGAACTAACAAGGAATAGGTGGATTGGGTTAGAAACTCACCAACTGATCCTTGAGTGTGCTAAGCTTTGCCTTGATCCCATTGAAGCTACATGTGAGGAATCATGTGGGTCATTTTTTACAATGAATGGTGGAAGTGACATACCACTTGACCCTCAGCCGGTCCCAACAAACTGGATGTTAAGTGCTGTGGAAAACAATTTTTGGTCTCCTAGTTTGGCCCAATCCTCACCAGCCCCTCTTCAGACCCCACGTGGCTCAGTTCCCCAGACCCCTGTGTATCCAATCCTTACCCCAAACCAGCGTGGCAAAGTAGCTGAATCACCTCCAGAAGCAGCCATTGAGGCAACACCAGAGACAACTCCATTTACATCACCCATTAAAATGGAGCCAAACACCCTAGTGACACGCAGACCACTGTCAGGGAGGAGGGCTTTGACGCTGAATACAGGTGGAGCACCTGAACCTGTTGGTCAACCAGCTGATTCTGAAGCTAACTCCAGCCCTATGTCCCCTTTGAAGAAAGATCAAGCTCCTTTCAGGTTCCCAGAAAACCAAGGTCAAGATTTTTTCTTGCGAGCAGAAAGGTCAACTCTCCTGCAAACCAAACTGCAGCAAATTCAGAGGGAAAGACAAATCAACCAAATAGAGAATCTCTTTAGTCAATACACTGAAAATAAGAGTGAAACTGACAGCAAGAATGAAGGGGATGTGGTAGATGGAAGAGATACAAAGGAAGGTAATTCTTTGGTGCCAAGGAAAGCTGTAGGGGATAGGCAGAGTATAGAAAATGATGTAGAATCAAAACCGAGTGATTTTAGAGTATCTCAAGTGGATCTTAGATACAGAAAACGTAAAGCATCGGTGTATGATGGGATCCATCATGTTGATTTGACACAGCTGCAACAAGCAACGGGGCATTTGGCGAATGGGAACAATGACTTGGATTTTTCTAGTGAAGCAGCTCAGTACAGTGAAACAGAAGATGGAGAGAAAAATTATAGGTTGCCTCCCATAATAGATCGTAGAATATCTGAAGAAAAGGAATCTGAGGGTAGTGAGAGCAGAAAATCGTCTGATGAACCCCAGAATTGTGATAAAAACTGTGATGAACCAGAGAGTATAGGGTTAGGAGTTCCGAGCCAAAGATCAATGACAGATTTAGTGAAAAATATAAAAACTATGCGGCTAAGGTTTCTAAGTCAATGTGGGCCTCCACCTGATCTATCCCAGTACAATATGGTGAGTTCAATGCGTGTGGCATTATCACCCACAAAATCTGTAACTACACCTGTGAAAACATTACAGAGGAGCTCATCCTGTCCAAATTTAACTACTGAAGGCCCACCATTATTGGGAAATGTTACTGATGGAAGAGTGCGGAAGGAATCAGCCATGTCTTCTCTCACCTTGTCACCAACAAGACAGCCAGTCATGATGTGTGAAGCAAGCACACAGACTGAGGAATCCAATGTAATTAATCCATATGAGCAGCTTCTTGATGTCCTTGTAAGTGGGCCAGGAGTACCACAATCAAAAACATCAAGAGGAAATTCTGGAGACACAGACCAAGATTCACCTTCACCACATCAGCTATTAGACCAATATTTACAACATAGTAGTAAGGCAATTAACAAAGCCAAAAATCTACTGTGGCAGCAAAATAGTGGGACAGATGAAGGACTGAAGAATCAGGTCCGGCTGATGCAAACCATGTTATTATTGGAACGATATAAAAGAGAAGTACATGCTGAAAGAAATAGAAGACTGTTGGGAAAAGCCAAGAAGGTCTATGCTCTTGAAGAAGAGAAGCGTAGCTTAAAGGAAGAAGTGAGACATCTTGAGAGTGAAGTTGCTAGATTGAAGCATGATCTAAGCAATGCACAGGTTAATGCTTTAAACAAGGAACAGCAACTACAGTTAGCCTTAAATCAGCAACAGGCAAAAGTTAACCAAGTTTTTGTTGAATGTGAGCAAGCCCAGAAGGAACGAGAACTCTTACTGCAACAGTGCAATTCCCTCAGAAAAGAAAAGGAAACTTTATCAACACAGTTACATGGAGCTCAAGCAGCATTGATTGAAAGAGATAGACAGCTAACAGTTCAGGCTGCATTGGCAGAAGATAACAGAGCACTTAGTCATCAAGTTGAGACCCTTCACAAACAGATAACTCTTATGGGTGAACTGCAGGAACAATATAAGCAACAGGTGTGGCAACTCTCACTTTCAGGTGGGTTGGGTGCAAGTAAAGGTTTGACTTTAGAACGCATGGCAGCTCATCAGCAGGTGGAAAAGTTGGAAGTCTCTCAACGTATTGCTGCGGCCAGTTTAGAAGCTGCACTTGCACGTGTAGCAGAGCTAGAGAATTCTCTAAAAGATAAGGAAAGAGAAGTTGAAGAGCAACAGCGTACAGTAAAAGCAGCAAAAGAGGCTGGTGTGGAGCAGTGTAGGGTTGCTGAAAGACGATGCCAAGCACTTGCTGCCACCAACCAAACCTTGGAAAGTTATATCTTGGAACACAATGATCGTATTGATAGACTAAGTCGGCAGGTGCGAAGATCTCAAAGAGGAAAATCAGTTTGTAGTGATGGTTTTGACATTGATCTAGAATTATCAGCTTCACCATCATCTGCCAGTTGTAGTAGCACTGCCACATCACCCCCTGATGACATGACAGGTGCCCTCCTTGGAAGGCAGCCTGTTGTGCTCAACCGTCTAGATGCTTTATTGGAATTAGACATGGAACCAGAAGGAAATCAAAGAAGAAAGACCTAGACACATTGACAATCTACAGAGAGTTACAAAGGCAAAGGTGTATCAATTAGCATGGATGTTAGGAAAAGGCAGGATTTGTTTATGAAATACAGTAGCTGCAGATTATGATAGTTGCAGTAGAACTTTGTAAGAGTTGCGGTCTTAAGCTAGCTGGAAAATTAGGAGCCTCAAATAAAGTTTCATCAATTTGGTAACCAGATATAAAAGAGGCAGGACCTGAAAAGAATAATTTTCTATGTTTGGAATATGCAGTGAGTAGCCTTTTTAAAGTAGGTTTTACCTACTTATTGTCAATTAAAATTGTTTACAGCTGAGGAATAAAAAATATAACGGTATAAATGATGGATGAGTTCAGGCTGTTCATTCACTGGAAGGTATACAAAGCATGTAAAATTTTTATAGCCTTTCTATGTAGTGCATTGGAGATCTGAGAAAATGTACCACTAATGGTTGGTGTGGTTGATTCCTTTGTCATGTATTTGGCAAACATTGTTTACAATTAAAACATACTCTGTCTTTCAAAACATTCAGTAATTAAATCTCATATATATCAAAGAGACTATATATAATACACCCTCCTAAAGTAAGCAGCTCTCTGTATGACTGGGAATCGGACTGTAATTTGGAGTTCACTCTGCCAAAACATAGTTGCAAATTTTAAAGTATGGGATATGGTTACATGATTTGTTTTTGATGATGTCATTTTGTATATATAATAAGAGAAGATTTAAATGGAAAGTGTAAGGTTATGTTCATTTTGTGGACTTGAGTTTGCAAGCTATGAAATCATTAGAGAAGGAGGTTTATACATCAATCCTTTTCAGGAGCAAAATTTTCTGAAACAGAGTAGCAAAGACACAGAAGACAGGGAGAGTAGATATCTTTGGTCTGTTTACAGAAGTTTGATATGAAGGGAAAGCTCTTATGATTTCATAACAGTGATGGTTTTAAGAGATAATGATTTTTTTTTTTTTAAATATTACTGGCTACTAGTCACAAACTCTGCAGCTGGGCAGTAAAAGTGCAGGCAGATATCTCTTGTGCTCAAGTTGAAATTAGTTGATTTTTCTCTTCAAATGGATACATTAATTCTAGTTATTAAAATCTTGATAGTAAATATCCAGTTTACATAAAGGAAGCTGCATTCAGCATGGGTTGCTGTGTTTTGCTCACATGCCAATTGTTTTTCTTCTTTTTAATTGTTAATGAAACATTAATTAAAAAAGTTATGATAATGTTAAGGACGTATTTCTTTCTATCAATATTTAGTGTATCATAGTTGTTTTATAATGCTCTTTACACAGTCTATTGCTGAAATTACCATTATTTAACCCACAATTATTGTACAGTTTAGTGATACAGCAAAAAAAATGTGAATATGGCATTAAAAGGGCTGTGCAGCCATTTAGCAGCCTCTACTCAGAGGTTAATGCCATTATTTTATTGGAAAAATAGCAGATCCAGTTGTCATAAAAAACTTATATTTGTCCCACCAATCTTTCATCAGTGTTTGATACATGTATATACACAATTCATATACTGGCACCCTTTGCTCTATGATGAGGCCATATTCTGATAGCATTATATCATGTTTAAAAGAGATACTCTAGAAACACTGAGCATTAGTAGAGAATCCTAAAAGAGCCCTCCAGCTAATTGAATTATATAAAGTTAATCCAAATACAGTAAAATTTATGAAGAAAATGTACGGAAATGAAAAGAATATGGGCATAAATTGAAGCAAAGAAGTGATCAAACACTCCCTCGTCGTTTGCCCTCAGCACTGGTTAATTTGCTTGCCATTATAGGTACTATAAAAAAAGTAATGACTCTGTACAGATTAGATAAACATATCATGGCTTGTGAGATACAAGACCATTCTTCGAGTGCATTCAAATGTAGACAAAGAATGAGCTTAATTGTTTGCTCTCTGAAGCATTGAGTAGTAATCTCAAGAACTAATTAAAATCATATAATTAATTGAAGGCAAGCATGATAGAGTAATAGGAGTGACATTTTGGAAAATTATTGATCAACTGTATATTGATTGACCATATAGTGGGGAAGAATTTACCTGTATTTAGTATGGAACACTATAACCCAACATTCAACTTGCTGTTAGTTAAATGCTCTTTAAAGTAATGCATATCTTTCTACAGTACTTAATAATCAAAAGTTTTCAAATTGCAAAGCGGTTTGAAGATTCCTTTGAGAACATAAACAGATTTGTTGTAGCATGCCGTTCAGGGTACTATTTTCTAAACTGGTACCACATGTTCAGCCAGAAACCTGTTTCTGAATAACCATTCCTGACCTTTTAAGACCTTTATTTTTATTTGGCATAGAGAGTGCAATCCAAGGCCCTGTCTCAAGAAAATGCCAGTATAAAACCTAAGCTTGTTAGTTATTATGTCACTGAACAATAACATATGTTTATATATATATACACACATACTTATACATATATACATATACAAATATACACATACATATATACATATACACATAAATGTAAATACATATACATATGTACATGTACATGTACATGTACATATATATATATATATATATATATATATATATATATATATATATATATATATATATATACATATATACATATATACATATATACATATATACATATATACATATATACATATATACATATATACATATATATACATATATACATATATACATATATACATATATACATATATACATATATACATATATACATATATACATATATACATATATATACATATATACATATATACATATATATATATATATATATATATATATATATATATATATATATATATATATATAAATATTATATATATATATATATATATATTATATATATATGTATATATATATTATATATATGTATATATATATATATATATATATATGTATATATATATATATATATATATATATATTATAATATATATATATATATATATATATATATATATATATATATATATATATATATATATATGTATATACATATTATATATATATATATATGTATATATATATATATATATATATATATATATATATATATATATATATATATGTAAATACATATATGTATATACATATATATATAATATATATATATATATATATATGTATATATATATATATATATGTAAATACATAAATGTATATACATATATATATATATATATATATATATATATATATAATATATATATATATATGTAAATACATAAATGTATATACATATATATATATATATATATATATATATATATATATATATATATATATGATACATATATGTATATACATATATATATATATATATGTATATATGATACATATATATATATATATATGCATATACATATATGTATTTACATATATGTATATACATATATGTATTTACATATATATATATATATATATACTATACATATATATACATATATATACATATATATATATATATATACATATATACATATATACATATATACATATATACATATATACATATATACATATATACATATATACATATATATATATGTATATACATATATATATATTTATGCATATACATATATGTATTTGCACAGCCCTTTTAATGAATATGGCATTAAAAGGGCTGTGCAGCCATTTAGCAGCCTCTACTCAGAGGTTAATGCCATTATTTTATTGGAAAAATAGCAGATCCAGTTGTCATAAAAAACTTATATTTGTCCCACCAATCTTTCATCAGTGTTTGATACATGTATATACACAATTCATATACTGGCACCCTTTGCTCTATGATGAGGCCATATTCTGATAGCATTATATCATGTTTAAAAGAGATACTCTAGAAACACTGAGCATTAGTAGAGAATCCTAAAAGAGCCCTCCAGCTAATTGAATTATATAAAGTTAATCCAAATACAGTAAAATTTATGAAGAAAATGTACGGAAATGAAAAGAATATGGGCATAAATTGAAGCAAAGAAGTGATCAAACACTCCCTCGTCGTTTGCCCTCAGCACTGGTTAATTTGCTTGCCATTATAGGTACTATAAAAAAAGTAATGACTCTGTACAGATTAGATAAACATATCATGGCTTGTGAGATACAAGACCATTCTTCGAGTGCATTCAAATGTAGACAAAGAATGAGCTTAATTGTTTGCTCTCTGAAGCATTGAGTAGTAATCTCAAGAACTAATTAAAATCATATAATTAATTGAAGGCAAGCATGATAGAGTAATAGGAGTGACATTTTGGAAAATTATTGATCAACTTTATATTGATTGACCATATAGTGGGGAAGAATTTACCTGTATTTAGTATGGAACACTATAACCCAACATTCAACTTGCTGTTAGTTAAATGCTCTTTAAAGTAATGCATATCTTTCTACAGTACTTAATAATCAAAAGTTTTCAAATTGCAAAGCGGTTTGAAGATTCCTTTGAGAACATAAACAGATTTGTTGTAGCATGCCGTTCAGGGTACTATTTTCTAAACTGGTACCACATGTTCAGCCAGAAACCTGTTTCTGAATAACCATTCCTGACCTTTTAAGACCTTTATTTTTATTTGGCATAGAGAGTGCAATCCAAGGCCCTGTCTCAAGAAAATGCCAGTATAAAACCTAAGCTTGTTAGTTATTATGTCACTGAACAATAACATATGTTTATATATATATACACACATACTTATACATATATACAATACAAATATACACATACATATATACATATACACATAAATGTAAATACATATACATATGTACATGTACATGTACATGTACATGTACATGTACATGTACATATATATATATATATATATATATATATATATATATATATATATATATATATATATATATATAATATATACATATATACATATATACATATATACATATATACATATATATACATATATACATATATACATATATATACATATATACATATATACATATATACATTATATACATATTATACATATATACATATATATATATTATATATATATATATATATATATATACATATATATATGTTATATATATATATATATTATATATATTATATTATATTTATTATTATATTA